GTAATAGAACTGGACACTTCGTATTAAGTACTATATAAAGCTCTAATCCGTACCTCACAGGAAATACATTCCGTCTCCTTAGCAACGACCAACCGGTTCTCCGGTGTGGGGATTTGGGTGCCCATCGTACTCGTGTGTGGAAAACAGAATTCCATTGCCTTCTGCTGATGACGTAACTGTCCGCAACACTATCTGACCATGGGGCACCCTGAGAAACCGATAGCGACTGTGTTTCCTGCCTGCTTTAACGTTACATAAAAAACTCTGCATTCTGCCCACGCAGTGTATTTATGTGTTCCGTATGGTTCTCACAGTAAACAGCGATTGTTTCCCTAAACAGCATTAACCGGTTGGGCGTTGCTATGGAGACGGAGTGTGTTTCCTGTGAGGTACGGACTTCAAGATACTAAAACGCTGCATTCTGCCCACACAGTGTATTTATGTGTTCCGTATGGTTCTCACAGTAAACAGCGATTGTTTCCCTAAACAGCATTAACCGGTTGGGCGTTGCTATGGAGACGGAGTGTGTTTCCTGTGAGGTACGGACTTCAAGATACTAAAACGCTGCATTCTGCCCACACAGTGTATTTATGTGTTCCGTATGGTTCTCACAAACATAATTAACCTGTTGAGGTTTGTAGCGGAGACCCTTCAGATCAGTAGCTTCGTTTGCTGTTCAGTTGGACCGTGTGAATTATAACTTACCGACTTCTTTCGTGTGGATAGAAGTGAATTATTTAGTACTGCTGCATACGAATTTCAGGACTGCAAGGGTTCCTGGCTTTGGGAATATTCCTCACTGTTGCTGCGGTAGCACAGGAGCAGCTGCTAACTGAAAGGGCGAAGCATGGCGGTGCTACTTACCGCACAGAACCTGGCTCACAGCCGCCGTGAGGAGCAGCAACACCACGTACACACCCTGTAGCACAATAAACAAGCGTGAGAGAAATGTATGGTGACGTCAGCTGGAGGACAGGCCGTCACAGTGTATTTATGTGTTCTGTATGGTTCTCACAATAAACAGCATTAACCGGTTTGGCGTTGCTATGGAGACGTAGTGTGTTTCCTGTGACGTACGGAATTCAAGATACTAAAACTCTGCATTCTGCCCACACAGTGTATTTGTGTGTTCCGTATGGTTCTCACAGTAAACAGCGATTATTTTCCTAAACAGCATTAACCGGTTGGGCCTTGTTATGGAGACGGAGTGTGTTTCCTGTGAGATACGGACTGAAATTTATAAATCACTCTGGTATCGCCTAGCCATTCTGCTCGCAGACAAATTGGTAATTATAATTTTTACCAGCAACGAGCATTTTGAGTTGGCGCACGCCAGCGAGGAGCTGTAAAGTGGGGAAGCCTCTAGCGGGGAATGCTTCCCGCAACCTGAGTATAAAGGAAGGTGTGAGAGGAGACGAAGTTCCAGGCAGCGCCCTGCTCTGACCCTTGCCGACGTCGACACGTGTGACACGAATTTAGATACCAGCCCGTTTCTTCCTGTGGCTCTACAGCCCTTCGGACCTTGACCGTTTTTCGGTTTCTTAATCTTATACACAGAGGGTAGGACTCCTTGGACGGGGGGTCAGCCCGTCGCAAGGCCGATACCTACACACAGAACGACAAAAACACACAATAAACCCACATAGACATCCGTGCCTCCAGTGGGATTCGAACCCACGATCCCAATGTTCTAGCGGGCGAAGACGGTTTATGCCTTAGAACGCGCGGCCGGCCACTGTGATCGGAACCAGCCCATAGGCCCCGCTATTATTTCCTCTACTCAAAGCACCCAGATAAACCGGCTTCTAGATTTCAACATAAATGTCTACAGATCACGAAATTGCACTTGTAAGTTACACCTGCCGTCCACTGTGTAGACTTTCATGCGGTCACTTCCAACAGCCATCCGAATAGAACGGGCAGACAGACGTCCAGCAGACGCCAAACTAAGTTAATGGGTCAGAGGCGTCTGTTCTGTCTCTATGACGGCTGGGAAGTTGCCTGCCGTCTGGCCACAGGGCTGTGTAGGCTGTACAGCCCGGCTTCGTGGCTCTGTGGCAATCAAGATAAACGAATTCTTCGTATTCCCTGCTACAAAATTTGTGCATTAAGTGCAGTTTCCTCTAGGACCCTATACTTCAACTCAGCACCCCTTCCCTGCACCCTTCATCCCCTTTTTTGACTCCGAACCAAACCCTGTACGCGTCACGTCACTCAAGAAGAGAGAGAGATAGTAGATTTGTAATCAGAAGGACGAGGAGATTATGAGCCGGTCTGAAAGTGTTGGGGTGGCAGACCAAGTTTCACACCCGCATAAGACTACGACTAGAACTACATTTCTGCACAGAGTAGAGCTACCCCAGTGTCATGACACGTAACTCTAAATTCGCCATGCAACCAGACGCGTTCCACGCCCAGTTCCAACAGTTCTCCATAGAGGCTCCACTGCTGAACCTGCGTACCCCGCACTAAGAACCAAACAGGCACTGCAAGTAAACAGATTTCACACGCGCTTTCAGACGCTCCGAGTCGCCTTGTTGAGTAATCCTCGCGGTACTTACCATGATGCAGCTGTTGCCGTCTGCTTCCTTCTTCGCGTCAGCCGCTTTTATACGGGATGAGATGTGTAATGGCCTTTTGCTTGACCAATAGACAGGTGAAGGTATTCTGCAAGATGAGGGGGAGGGACGTGGGGAGTGGGAGGGGGTGGCTCAATGAAAAGTGAATGTGCCTATGCGACTCCCGTGCGTTGACCTGCGCACAGAAAACAGCGCTGCACTTTGAATTTGGGGAGATGACGGCCTGCATCAGTTCTGCTTGACCTGTCCAGCACTCGCTTCACAGCCGAGAAGTTCCTGCCATTACTTGAAGAGCTGCTGGCCTTACAGAACATCAACGGAAGAGCGGCCCAACTCGCATTTCTGAAGTCGTTCCGTTTTGGCGCGTCCGTAACGGAAAGTTTAGAAATTCCATCTTCTAGACTCGCCATGTCTGTCTGTCCGCATGTAACAACTAGAGAACCGGTAAACGGATTTTCATGAAATTTTACGTTTAGGGGTTTTAGCAGACTTTGTCAGCATCATCAGATTTTGGTGAAAATCGGACAGAAATAACGGACACTTTACATCTCAAACGCAACTCGCTTTATCGGAACGGATAAATCAATTTTCTGAATAAAATTCAGAGATCCTTAGGCCATAATAATAAAGCAGGTGGTAGATATAGTTACCACATGGCTTTGCATGTTTAAACTAGACACTTTTTCCAAATTCAACAGACAGGCCTCTCTCAATCCACGGTTTCATTAACTTTAGCTTTAAATAAATGCCTCTGTTGTGATGCTCAGGATAGGGACCAGTGGAGGGCTCTTGTGAACACGGTGACGAACCTTCGGGTTCCATAAAATGCTGGGAAATTCTTGAGTAGCTGCTGATTTGGCTTCTCCTCAAGAAGGGTTCAGCTCCGTAAGTAAGTAAGTAAGTTGTCAAGTCAGAGATAATAAACAGGTAGCCAGATTGTCGTCACGTAAAGACGCACGGAACATGACCTGTCCAACCAGTACTTACGCCCGTCTTGCTCGTTCTGCATATCGTGCTCAGCAAGGCCAAACAGATTTCTGCGCCTTGAAGTCGTCGGTAAACACGGAGATTGGCTGTAAGAGGGCATAATTCGTTTCGAAGGCCCTTAGAGGCTGGGGTGGTCAGTCAATCAATTGTAACTCGCAAACAAAAAGGAAAGTTAGTGGTGAGTTCCCAGTTCCTCACAGCGTCAAACTTAGGTACCAAGGTTTCGGAAGAATCTCTCGAATCCTTCTTCGTGTTAGAAATGGAAGTTGACGCAGCATATCTCGTAGAAATATTCTTGCTATCTACCAAACTACACGGCGTTCCTTTACACCTCAGACGCCCCGTAGATGCAGGCCTCTGGATTGCCCGCGAGACGAAAGGAAATAAGTAGCGTGGCAGTGGTTGCAGTTGCACTGCCCCTGTAGACCAGGGGAAGGTGACCACGCACACAGCATACACTCGTTACCTCAGTTAATGGACCCGACCAAATTCACTGCGCCTTCTGTTGCGAACGGTCAGGTACTGGAACCGCGCATGCCTGAACGAATCCTGCTGTCTCCCCCCCACCCAAAAGGTTTGAATGCCTGAACCAGTCTTTATGAGACTTGGTACGTGCATCATGGCAACCGATCCCATCTCAACGGCGTGCTTCAGAAATCCCTCCCGTTAGTCTGTGTGTGTCTGTGTATCCATGCTATCGTTGCTAGGCAACGGCTCGGTTAAAACGTTACCGCTGCAACGACTACAAATGCAACAATAGATGAAATGTTGGACGGGTCGTTTTCTGTGTTGTCCGTGTCGTCTGGAAAGAAAGTAGGTGATTAGTTCTTCCCAGAACTTCTTGTAGAAACAAGAGCCTTGAGCAATGCAGCGCATATGGGACATTTCCGAATTGTATTCGACCGTGATCTGAAAAAGCAGCTGCTGTTTTCAGCCGATATGAGAGAGATATTTGGGACATTTAATATTTCTCATACGTCATTAATGAATACCTTTGATGTAGAGAATCCATCATGAACGTTCGTCACTTGTGATATCCTCAGTGTAAACTTGCGGAGACTGTGGATCGCGTGTGCATCACTGATTCGAACTACGTCATAAAACACAAATTGCGTGAACCTTCGGAACCCTACGAGGTCCGATGTTTGCACTGAGGCACAGTATCCCCTCAACGCCTGCCAGACTGCACGATGTCACAACTCGTGACAGGATATGAAGGCAATTTTATTGATGGTTTATTGGTCAGTGTATGGAATGTGACACATTGTGTTAGTGTTCATATTTTTCATGGATCAAAAGCATTCCAGAGTGACAGGCTATTGCAATTCATAGCAGACCACAACGCGAGCAATCCTGCAGCCATGCTATGGCACACTATAGAGGAAAATATTTATAACTAATTAATTGGTTGTGTTTGCATGGTTTGATTAAATGCCAGTAGTCTTCTGAGAAAATTCTAATTTTAATACATAGGCGAATTTAATTACACTGCGAAGAGTTGAGATTCCAATCCATATTAATTAAAGGGACGAACTAGTTCCAATAATTTAAACGATTAATGATTTCATTGTAGCGGATTAACCATTTCCATGATATTAACGAGATATCTCGCTCTGAGACCTGACGTTGTTCCCTACAGGATTTCGGTGTGTCATATTCACCGATAGAAAATAAATTTGTGCTGTCATCTCTTGATAGTATAAGCGAACTATTCGCAGTGTTCAACAAATTTTGCCAAAGAATTGAAATCATATGGTAACACAGACCCGTGGCGTTACGTGGGGCGTAGAAAACAGAAGTTCTAAACCCGATTACTGTGGTCGACGCAGCCTGACGAGACAATCTTATGGGTCTGCTTAAAAATTCTTGTTTTTGCATGTTTGTGTGTTTGCTTGCACTCGTTGAGAACACGGACCTCGTGAAAAACGTTAGAGTAACGTATTGTTACAATAATGCATTGTTGCTGTGTCTGCTGTTGTGATTGTGTTTTTAATTTAATGTTAGAGCCAAACCCTATTTATTCTGTACAGTACAATTGTTATAACAAATGAGGAGACTTTCCGCAGAATTTTAAACGGGCATTACGCTAGTTCACGTGTAAGAAACATCGAAAGAGCAGACGATCCAGCCGAGAGATCAGGCCTGTCTATGGCATTTGGTTAGTCTCGTCCTCTGATCCTAAGGACAGCGAGTCGTGACTCGAGGGCGTAATGGCGCCGACATGTAATGCTGAAGTAACGGAGTTCCACCCATGTGAGACCACGTGATGGTTTGGTCTGCAGAAGGAGGCAGGAGATTTGCCCGAAACGTTGGTAATTACCTACCAGATTTGCGGCGTAAAATCCCAGAGTGTCTGAAGCTTAACCAGAACTCCCCCCCCCCACCCAAATTTCTGAGGCGTATAATTGGATCACGAGTGAACCGTGCGACCTGGGTTCCAGACCGGGAAACGAAAGGCGTTCCGCGGCACACGCAGACGTGAACTGGGTGAAAGCGACAGATTAAACAAAGCGCAACATTTCAATGAGGCTTCTTTAATTTATGTGGGATTTGAGGATCTCTTGGGGGTGACTGTGAAGAATTGTCTGCTCTGGGACATACCGCCTTGCAGTCATGTGAGAGTCAGCTGACGTTTCGGAGGGACATATCACTCTTCATCTTGAAGGTCGAGGAGTGAGCCAGACAGGAGCCAAACATTTTTCACTTCGCTTGCTCTTCGACCTGAAGATGGAGGCAATATTTTCCTTAGAAATTTAGATCTTTCTCCGAACAGCGTTATATTCAGAATACCGCATCCATGATTCATGTGCAGTTTGGAAATTAAATTGAAATTATTTTATTAAATAATGAATATAGAGTATTATAAGAGAGTAAACCCTTGATAATACGTATCGAAATATGAAAAATGCTACTTACAGTTGAGTGCATACTTTAAAGGACGTGTGGGACCTGGAAGGCCGACGAGTCGCTTGTCTGTTCAGACAGAACGTGACAGTCTCTTCAAACCTCCATTATTACGTTAAAAAACAAGTGCAACTTCCGAGTTTTCTATCGATGGATAAATGTATTTTCCTGATATAGTTTTAAATAAAGTCTCTACAGTGATATTTTGCTATTTACTTTCATCAGCACTGCTTATATCATTACATTTTCTATTTATTCGTTTTATAAGTATTTTTTATCTTCTAGGGCTACCCCAAATCTTACACTGACAGAATATTCTTTTATATTGTACATTTCGTTGACAATACGTATATATATATATATATANTTCCTTGTCCTTCTGTAAAGTTTTAGCCACTGCATACGGTGAAACTGACGATGCAAGCAACCACACCGA